CAATATTTTTAAATTAATTATTAATTATATATTTATTTTATTATTAATTATTAAGTATTTGAAAATTGACATGATGGAATTCTAAAAGTGAACATCAATTTTTGTTCTTTCTATTTTATTATGCTTGATCTAATTACCTTTAATTTTTCTCAGTTATTTTTAGAATTGATGAATGATTTCAAATTATGAGTTACTTTATAATACTAGTTCATTTAGATTTTTTATCTCTTATTTCAATTTTTTTTCTATCTTAAAATACATTCATGTGAGATTTATAATTATACCAAGTCAAGTACAAATTATGACATTCAGCTCGCTAGACTTATCCCTCACTTCCTCTATAAAGCACTTGTCTCTCAATATTCATTCTTGAAAGAGACATCCGTCTATTAATAAGGAACTGTCAAGACGCTGTTCGAACAAACACATCCATTAGGCAAATAAATTTCATTTATTTACTTATTTATTTATTAATTTTTTTAATCGATTACTATAAACCTTCCTCATAAAAATTTTATCCTCAAAATTTAAGTACTTCATATAAGCTGATCATTATACAGATGAAACACGAACTTTTCACAAATTATCATAAAAGTTTTATTATTGTTAAATGATAACAAAAATAGATGTGATAAATGTTTCGTCTGTTAGATAATACTATCTATCTAAACAAGCCCCAAATATCTGAAACATGATAGCATAACTAAAATAACACCCAATTCTAAAATCATAAATATATAAGGATACTCAACACTAAACATCTAACATGAAAGATGACATAACACCCAAGTGACAAATCACTACATCAAACTCTGTGCATCAGCATCAATAGTAGCAAGACTTTAGGTTCCCCGATGATTTAAGGAATAGACCCATGGTCGAGTGTTCTATCCTGATTGCTCTTTATAAGTTGCAGTATTAGTTTCTATCATCCTTTGTTGACCACTTCTAAAACTAGCTCCCTCCTGAAACTTCCTCTAAGGCGAATCCCTTCCTGAATTAGTATCTGAAGTGGATATCTAAAAAGAATTAGGATAATTTCTCATATGATATCCAGATTGTTTGCATAAGTAATAAACCTTCAAACCAAATAAACATCATTATGATGTTGCTTCCTACACTTAACGCAAGACTCTATAGTGTTGTCATCAGCCTGATTAATAACTCCATCAGTGTATGAATTTATCTTCTTCCCATTAGACTCTCTAGAATGAGATGTTGGCCCCACTTCCTCCAAACACTTCCTCTTGTGTATTTTCTTAAGTTTTTGAATCTACTAAAAATTAATCTCCACCCACCTAGCCCTCTTCACTATCACTGAATAATCTTCAATCCTAAGTGGCACTAGTGGTTGCTTGATTGAATCTTTCAACCCAGAAAGAAATTTTCATTTTTCCTCTGCAATAGGAATAAGTTGTGTTGCATACCTCGACAGCATAGTAAATTCTTTTTGTACTGCATAACTGATAGATCACCCTGTATCGGCCTAATAAGTTTATCATGCATCTATCTCTTGGCTGAAAATGGTACAAACCAATCACTGAAGACTCTCAAGAACTCATCACATTGAACCAAGTGGCTAATTCTACCTCCAAACTTCTCTTGCATATGTCCTTTCCACCACCTCTCAACTTCTCCATCAAAAGCAAAAGTAACGAGTAACTTTCCTCTTTGACAGGCATGTCATACCATCAATGATTTTCTCTATCTTTAACAGTCATTTTTTAGCTTTCGATGGCCCTCCTGCCCGAAACAAAGGTGGCACTATGTCCTGAAAGAGCTTCAAATACTTATCTATCGATGCTCCTCCACTGCTATTGGACTGGTACGGAGAGTTCCTAATCATTTGAATCACTGCAGTCAGCATCTCAACAAAAGAATCAACATTGTCGGTAACATTCTGGGGTAAATCAAAATTTACACTATCGTCTTTGACCTCATCCTCTGGATCATCTAGAATTTTGAAATAACGCTAATATAATTTAATTAGACTCACTTAAAATTTTATTTTATCTTTTATTATTTATATATTATTTCAATCATCCTAATGACTCTTTCATTGAGATTCGTGTTATTTAACCTAAACATTTTGATCTGATACAACTGTTATCACGACCCGACCTGAGGATTGAAATTAACAAAGATAAGAACGGACGGTCGGATGATGAAAATTAATTCCTTAAATTCTATTTCTATCACTAACAGTTTAAGATTCAAAAATTCATGAAAGAGTCATTAAAGAAAGCAATTAAAATTAACAAGTAAAAATTTATACATATCTATTGATGTTCTCGCCTCATATACGCATTTGATCCTTTTTTATTCATTTTGATCAAAAGCTTAAAACCTAAAAAAATATTAAACCGACATAATGAGTTTTTTAAAGATAACCAATGAGTAATCACACTTTTAAGCTATAAAACTCAAGGAAAAGAAAACAATATGCATGTTGAATTTTCATATCTCTATAAGAAATCTTAAAATATGCTAGTTTTTCATATTTTTATAACGAATCTTATATATGCTAAGGCATGTATCAATGACCGTTACTCAATGAAAAATAATCTACAATCATTTATAAGCAAGTACCATTTTCAAAAAATTACTAAACAATGTCTCATGCTTTAAATTTGCCGTGTTTTAGGTTATAATCCAAAAGGTACAATTTTTTGAATATTCCAATCATAAATAATATACTGTCAGAGAAGATTGTGGTGAAGGACACAATTAATCAATTTGAATTATGATGAGCCCTCAAGTTTTATTGAAATTGACATAGATACATCCCAACCAAAGATTGGGTTAAAGTAAATATTATAGAAGATTCTATAGGAACAACAAAACGATCAATACAAAATCATTCAAGCGGTGTGGCATATGCAAGAATAATAAGGGGAATGGTGTTGACTAATAACTTAATGATTAAATCATTATGATGGTAGATAGTGTAGTTCAAGCTGCTAATGTAAAACAAAATACAACAAGAAATTAAGAGAAAAAAAATATTTATTAAATTCATAATTGAGTTACCAAATATTCCAAGCATTTTTTGAAATAGAGATAGATATAGCATACGACAACTTATTCAAGAACCCAACAATGATTCAATCTTTTCTCTGAAAACTTATGGAATTAAAGCTAGGTGGATGCACAAGGAGTTAGGAACACGATTCCTTAGTGTAAGAGTTAATGACGCATTAACTATTTCGAGTTGTGATATACTAGGATCATGAATTCATGTCTTTGGATATACTTTGAACTTATAAAGTAATTAAAATCATTTTCAATTTATCCTTAAACAATTGCTAGTTTAACTCTAGTTATGGTTATTTGTTTATGATTGCACTAATGGAAATTATTAATTATTCTATATTTTTATTTTTATTTTGATTCAATTAATATAATATATTTTATTTGTTTAAATATTGAACTTATTATGTCAAAATAGATATTATTGCCATTATATTTCAGAATACGCTATATTTATTTTACACCCAATCAAATAGGAATGGTAGTTTCCTTGCATTTACCTTCACAACCAAACAACTCAAAGTATTCAAACTACATAACATTTACTTCACATCTCGAATATACTTAAATTCTAAATGCAGAAAACCAAACTATCCCTAAAAATGATTTAGGGCAGGTTTTAACTTCCCTAAAATTTTACTTCGAATTTATTTTTCATCAAACCAAGCCCAAACACTTTGCATCCAAAAATCTCCAAATCAAATAGTTCTTAGGAAAATAAAAATTGACAAACTCCTAACCAGAATGATAAAGATATTCTCCCATTTAAAATTGCACTGCATGACACACCATCGTCTAGCTTCGTTTATTGGAAACTTTGACTCCTGTAGAGGCATAGGTTTTGAGGATAGGTATTTGTATATGTTCAAATGTTTAGTGCTTTTGCAAACCTTTTAAAAAAAATTAAAATAATAATAATAAATAAATAAATAAATCTACTACTACTTATTAAAAAAATACAACTCAAAGCTAGAAACTACAGTGCTTAGATATATTTTTGAGATTCAAAGGATAATCAAAACAGATAATGTCTCTAGATCATACCAATAAGAATGATATAGCAAATTTATAATCATTCTAGAAAAAAATGGGAATTAGGATTATTTATTTTGCTGAAAAATAAGTGTGGAGTAGAAAGGAATGCAATGTAATATAAATGTGTGTTTAAAATGTTCGGAGTCATTCTTTTTTAGTGTAAAGCAAATGCAAGAGATCAACATTTTGTGATTGGTTTGAAGTAATGAATTCAGCATAAAGCTCGATGTGGTGGAGAGCTGTGGTAGCGATACTTGGTGGTGGCAACTGTGAGTGGCTGGTAATGACTACTAACTGGAAATAGTGGGTGACCAAAGGCGGTGGATGCACCAGGCAGTTGGCAGCTGCACTAGAGACAACGACCAACAAAAAAAAGCAAAGGATAGGGGCAACAATGACAAACAAAACTTCACTCTTATGATATATTTAGAACCTGGCCTAAAGAGGACAAATTCCAAATACATTGAAAATAAAACAATAGGTAAATTCCAAATACTTCAAAATTTTACATTGTATTCCTTTTACATCCAAAGCAAACAACTAAATTTTAAAAATCCTATATTCCTTTTACTTTGCACCAATTTTTCCATAACCAAACAGTCCTTAAAAAATGTGAGTTATATATCATATCCAATAAAACAAATGTTAACCAAGATAGCTTTCTACGGGCTGTTCAATTTTGATGATTTTACTTCAATACTTAGACTAAAAGATTTTTAAACTAAACATGCTTGAGAAAATTTTAAGACATCAAGTTGATTGAGACCCTAGTTTAGGTCAATCTCTTCCGTAGAATAGTCACCACATACTATAGTACACAAATTGTAAAACTAATGAAAGAGTCATACTAAAACAGGATGAATGTAACTTCCAACATGTAACAATACAATGCAAGGTTCCTAAAAACATGGAACCTGCTTGAGGCAGTACGAGAATTTGTCCAAAATGACCAATTAATGAAACTGTCAGCATCATAAACACAATGCAGCATATACAAAAATTTACCTATTGGACTTGATCCCCCATTGCACCATACAACCTCTCCCAAAATAATCTAGCTTCACTCAGGAAGCCTAAGAGCCTTTTCCTTTATCAATCAAACAACATTTCACCAATCCAAGTTGTCTTCCAAATTTTCTAAAAGAGGGTACAAGGGTCTATCGCGTTATCTACATACAAATTCAAAGATCTAGATAAATTATAGATTGTTAGATATACCTAGTCAAAACAATGCAATACTTGTGAGGGTTGAAGGCACCAAAAGACCTTAAACTAGTGCAAAAAGAAAATATTTACAGACTCCATCACAGTTAACTTGTGTTGTAATGTGAGAGAAAGAACCGAAAGTCTGGATGATCCACCTTTTGAAACTGAAGCCATTCCTCAGCAGCTTGCAATAAAGAACTTGCAAACTGCTGCTCATAAAGATTTTTATTAGTCCAAATTGAACCTTTGAGCTTGTATGAAGCTAAACCAAATACAGGCAATGATAACTTAGCTGGCATCTGGGTAAAGTCATTAGCTTCTCTGACTCTACAGCTATCATTCAGCTCAGAATGTCCATTGCATGAATCTGACAATGGAAATTGATACATTATATGCATAAGGATGCCACAACGTGGGATGATCAATTGACTCAGAATCTTAGCATAATCAATGCATAAAATAATGATGAGAAATGCATACTTTTGAGTGGAGTTGACAAAGTATGGAAAGTCAAAAAGCAAGCATCCAAATCCCGTAATGTTGGTCCAGTGGGTATCCTGTATATAGGATACCTACACAGTTTTTAATTAAAGGTGAAACATTAGATACTGACCGACACAAAAAAATTAGTTTGATAAACAACAAAAATTCATGAAGATTTGATAAATCATTGCTGCAAATTTTAAGTGATGAGAAAACAAACTTAAGATTTCAAAAGAAAGATATTCTATCAAAATATTTCAGCATCATGAAATCAAGAATTACCAAGCAACAGATATCCAACTCTTGGGAAGCAAATCACAACTCCTGTATGTCATTAGCTGAGGAAATTTGTTTGCGAGTAGTGAAATCTGCAATAGTTAACTATAAGAAAGGATACATCAGATTGAAGAAATACAGATACCTAAAGCATACTTGCCTTCTCTGCTAAGGGTTCTCTTCCATAGGGAGGATTATGCTCCAGATACTCGAATACTGGTAGCATTGTCTGCTTGCAAACTCCATTTTCTTCACCAACAAGACCATGCTGATCTTTATGAGTTGTTGAAGAATCCCTTCTCTTTCTAAATGTTCGTTCAGTTTCACTCTCACTGCTAACATCACTGCTCGTATCCTGATAAATTCCAGCATTGCTTTCCTCGCCAAGTCGCCTGAAAGTATAAGAAAACTAGTTTAACGTCAATGGCATTAGCATAGATAAACTCTGTATAAGATTTCCAATAAACTTCTTTTACATGCCATTTTATCGAAACATGGCATTGCTGCACCCAAATATGAAACCACCCATGGTTTAAATAACAAAAGTACCTGTCAAGATACATCATATGAGAAAAAAGAAGAAGTACGATGCTTTTATAGCATTGGCGTAAGCCTTATATTTTGTCACTCATCTTAAAAGGCTTAACCATGATAAATATGAAATAAATAATAGTAATATAATAATTAATTAATTAATCACTTGATTACTCAGAAAAAAAATCATATGATTAATAAATTTTTAATTAAGATAATAATGTTACTTAAAAGGGAATAATTGAGTAATTACTCATAATAACAATAAATTATGGTTAATCATAATTTTAATTCAGATTATTATGATACTTTAGAATGAAATAATTAATAATAACTTAATTACTCATAACAACAACAACAACAACAAGAAACCTTTAGCCCACTAAGTGAGGTCAAATCCATGAATCCCTTTTCTCCATTGCGTCCTATTGAGTTTCATATTTTCATTTAATTCTAATGGATTAAGATCATCTTTTATAAAATATGCTCAAGTCTTTTTAGGTCTACATTTGTCTTTCATAACATAAGTAAATCTAAAACAACTACTCTACTAACCGGATCACCAGATAGTCGACGTTCAATGTGACCAAACCATCTAAGACGACTCTCTCTGATCTTATTTGCCACTGGAGCTAGACCAACCCTATCAAGAAAAGATTCATTTCACATTTTGTCTCTAAGTGTCAAGCCACTCATCCCCTTAAGCATTCTCATCTCAGCAACACTTAACTTTATTTTATACTTCCCTTTTAAAAGCCAGCATTTTACACCATAGAACATGCAGGTCTCACCACCATTTTATAAAATTTTCCTACAAGTCTAAAAAGTACTTTTCTATCACACAATAGTCTCGATGAATTCCTCCACTTTAACCAACCAACTTTAGTTCTACTAATGTCATCCCCATCTATATCACCATCCCTTTGAACAATAGACCCGAGATATCAAAGTTAATTACTCATAAGAGAATAAATATTATCACTAAAGTTTTTAATTATGATCAATTTAGCATATTTAAAGGAGTTGTGATAGTTTTAATTAGATAAGATTCAAATAATAATTATTAATGATAATTCACGCCAAGCTATAAATTAGATACTATTTATGTAGCAAATGAGCTTAAGATAAAATATAAACAAATAGTTTTCTAAACATATATTGATTTACGTCAACCTAACTTTTTACCAAACACGTGTTTGATCCCATTTGAAGGAAAACATAGCTTATTTGGCTTACTTTGAACCACAACCAAAAATTTCCAGAGTGATCTCATCAGTAACTACTACAAGCTTTGCAGATGCGTAGAACTTGAATATGGTGAAAGCAAAAGTCTAAATTCGCCACTTCAAAGCTTAAATCTGGTTTCAAGGCCAAACATTATGTTTAAAAAAATTTTAAGCCAAACGTCTGCAGTGGGAATTTTGTTATTGTAGAGAACAAGGATGCTCAACGTGTAGGGTATGTGCAGGCGGATCACTGTGAGATAATCTTGTTTGCCTATAATAATGCCCCTTGATTTTTCCAAAAAACTCAGCTTTAGATTTTTCTATTAGCGTGAACAATCAGAATTCACATGAACTTGCTCTCTCTCTCTCTGACATGCACTCACACTACATAATCACATTGGGAGAAGCAAATACACAGCCACTCAAGAATGGTATAGAATTAACTGATTAAATTTTAGAGGTTTGTTAAAGTGCACTCTCCAAACTCTTTGTGTTTGCATAACTAATGTACATAGTGTAGAACACAATCTGATCCGCAGTTCAGATTTAGTACAAGACTTGCTCGGCAATCAAGGATGAGTTTGATCTCAAAAGGTGTTGTCTAAACAAATAGTATAACCAACTCAGTCTAAGAAAATTGCTATCATTTATTATATAAAGAGAAGGTTGTATTGACAACAGTGCCAAATATGAATTGATTATTGCAGAGAACGGATGACAAATGGATCAAATTATGTACTGAAGAGGATAAAGAAATGCACAGAATAAAATTAATAGAATATTAACAGAAACATGATTAAATTAATCAAAAGGGTACATGGGATAGATAGATAGCCATATGCAAAGAAGCACCAACACATCTAATCAAGTCATGGGATCACAAAGCGTAATAAGTTGCTCCATCCTTACTGTATTGTCATATTATTGATCTCAAGAGGTCATTCAATAAAAGGGAAAAGCTGCATGCTACTTAAGAGAAACTTCAATACTAATTTCCATAAATCATTTTACAAGGACATGCACTATTGACTACAGTAAATAAAGAGAAACAATAGTAGTCATCTAAGCTATTAATACAGAGGACTCATGTAAGATCACACGTCAAAATGATGTCAAAACCTATCATAAACTGCCGGAATTCATAACGTCATGTGTATTTACATGCATGCCTATGTGGGTTTGTGCATCTAAGCACATGCATGCGTAAAATTGAATGCATGCACTTACACAGAGGTCTGTTCTGTATAAGCATCTGTACTGAAATCAAACCCTAAAATAGAAGCTTTGCCCATACACAGAATGAATGGATTGAAATTCGAGTTTCATATAAGTTTTATGAGCTTAAGAGTAAAAGCTTAACAAAATCCATGTAGCTACGATAACAAGTTCAAAGAATATACACAAGTATGCACAAACACATCCATAAAATTGATGGTTTAAAATTACGCAATTCATGGTCAACTCAGCCTGAGATGCACAAAAATGTATTGAGGCATACAATTCACATGAACAACCAACACTCACAGCATCTAGTATAGAGGCCATCTACCCTGCAAAATCACGTCAGTCGCAGCCTCCAATTGCAACAAAACCTCTACAAATTTGATCTTTTGCACCACAATCATCATGAAAATCACTTTTAACTAACACTCGGAAAATATAGGAAAACATTGGCTTATATTCATAGAATCAAGGAAATGGAAATTCTAATGGCATAGCTAATCTTTCTTCATCCAAATTACTCTAATTTTCCATTCTCTGTTATTATACCTGCTTGTGCGTTCATCTTTTCCATGGACATTCCAGCCACTGTGTATGGTATTAGACACTCAAATATCTAATGGCACTCTTCCTCCTCTCCACCTCTTCACCCAACCATGGATTATTTGTCGTCTTCCCTTACCCTCGCAGCCAAAGACTCCCTTTCACTTACGATGAGTGACCTAACAGCTCAACTCAAATTCTTGATGACCAACATCAAAGCCCTTGCATCTACTGAACTCTTAGCAGATAAATATCTTAAATGAAAAGCTTAATGACACGGGAGCTTTCCCGTAGAGCTTTCTTGCAGTACCGTAGAGCTTTCTTGCAGTACCGTAGATGCTACAGTATTGCAGGTAAGTATATCAAGGGAGACGGGACACTGTTGGCCTCATTTTTGTGAATACTTTCCTTCCTCTTCATAGAACATACGATCTAGCCATAGGACTTTCCTATCGACTATCTTAGAGGATTAGTGTTGGGACCCACACCATTTAGAAACTCGAACCATCACTTAACTCTTTTGCGAAGCCTCACAATGGTGGTCCCAAACCATCCCCATTTGGTCGAGTGGTTATGATTTTGAGTTGTCACCACTGGGTTGAGTGGCTAAGACCACACGTCAGGGCCCGAGTAGAGTTCCTATAGGGTTTAAAAGCCTTAAGACACCCATAATGACTTTAGTACATTCGCACACACAAATATAATAATTCGCGTCACTAACACCTGTAAAGGCTTCACAATTAATTCGAATTTGACGCATTTTTAATTTGATCGTCAATGAGTTTGTCTGGACAACTCTGGATGACGAACGGACTGCACCAAAGAAGTCCAAAACGTCAACTTTACGTAAGAATGACACTCATTTTGCTATAATTCCACACACGAACAAATTGCACGCAAATCGTGAATTCATTCGAACGACCCCGAATAACGAAACGGACTGTGTCGGCGCGTCCGGGAAGTCGAAATTACCTCGAAAGGACATCAAGTTTGTCATGACTTCATGCACAAGTAAAAAATGCACGAATCGGGAATTTTAAATATTAAACATTATAAAAAAATAACAATAATAATAATAAAATAAAATCCCACTTAATCCCTACTCACGCACTCAGACTCGCGACCCACGCATGCCCTAGCTCCCCCAACCGGCCGAAAGCATTCTCCCTCTCGCTCGACATTTCACCCGAGCCCGATTCCTCCAGCCATTTCAATAATTTGAGAAATGGGATGCATAACAGGTGATTCTAATATATTTGCATAGCCTTCTTCTCTCACAATTATATTTTCTTGAATATGGAATGCTTACTGTTGGGAGGGATAGTGCTGTTTAGCTTTCTTCCTATGTATAATCCAAAGAAATATATACACAGGATGGGACTGTTTTGAACGACTGTTTTTCTGTAGTTTTTTTTTTTTATGAGGTTTTGGATCCTTCTTGTTTGTTTAAAAGTGATGAAATTTCAGACTTTTTTTTTTCTTTAGGAAGGGATGTCTGCTTATTTCAATTGTTTGAAGCACTATGAAATCCACCTATATCTCTATTGTTTATATTCATCTTTCTTTTAAGTTAGTTCAATTTAAAAACAGGAACATGAGTTTTAGGGTGGTCTTAACTATTCTTTGGAAAATTTACATACATACCACACAATTCTTATATACTTACCTATCTAGCACCTTAGCTATGTGAATTTCACCTTCTAAAGATAAAATGATGGCATGACTGTGTGGCTCGCATGGAAGTTACAGGATTTTTTTTTTAATTGTGTGGTTCTAAAGATAAAATGAAACGGGGACTTAAACACTCTCTTGGTGGTTGCTTTTAAAGACGGAGTTGGTGACTTTTAGGTAGCATCTATTGGGTTCAT